TAGATCTCGAAGAAGTTCGAGAACCACAAATAGTCGATGAACCGAGTGAACAGGGTGAATCGGTTCAACCTGTATCACAAGTTGTTGAGACAGCATGTCCTAGTGAACCTCGGAGATCTGGTAGAATTCGCCAAGAGCCTACAAGATATGGTTTTCTTGTGACTGGAAACGACGAACTCATGTTGTTAGAACATGACGAGCCTACGTAGTATTCAAAGGCTGTGGCGAGATCCGATTCCGAGAAATGGCACCAGGCCATGGAGTCTGAGATGCAGTCCATGTACGACAACAAAGTATGGACTTTGGTCGACTCATTCGATGGTATTAAGACCATTGGATGTAAGTGGGTTTTCAAGAAGAAAACCGACATGGATGGCATCGTGCATACCTATAAGGCACGACTCGTCGCGAAAGGGTTTTGGCAGATTCATGGTATAGACTATGATGAAACCTTTTCACCAGTCGTGATGCTTAAATCCATACGGATTCTGCTGGCCATAGCTGCGTATTATGACTACGAGATATGGCAGATGGACGTCAAGACCGCATTCCTTAACGGGAATTTGCTCGAGGATGTGTACATGACACAACCCGAGGGTTTTGTCGATCCTAAGAGTTGTACATTACACAACCCGAGGGTTTTGTCGATCCTAAGAGTCCGAGGAAGGTATGCAAGCTTCAGAGATCCATTTATGGACTGAAGCAGGCTTCGAGGAGCTGGAATCTTCGATTTGACGAGGCAGTCAAAGCGTTTGGCTTCATGCAAAACGAAGATGAGCCATGTGTTAACAAGAAGGTCAGTGGGAGCGCAGTGGTCTTCCTTGTGCTTTATGTAGATGATATATTACTCATCGGAAATGACATTCCTACCTTGCAAGGAGTAAAATCCTGGCTAGGATCAGTCTTTTCGATGAAGGACTTAGGAGAAGTCACCTATATTCTAGGAATCGAGATCTATACAGATAGATCGAGAAGGCTTCTTGGTCTAAGTCAGAGTACATACATTGACAAGACCTATATTCTAGGAATCAAGATCTATACAGATAGATCGAGAAGGCTTCTTGGTCTAAGTCAGAGTACATACATTGACAAGGTCTTGAATCGGTTCAAGATGCAAGACTCCAAGAGGGGTGCCTTGCCAATGGGACATGACGTGGCTCTTAGCAAGACTCAGTGTCCAAAGACACAGGATGAGCGAGAGCGGATGAGTAGGATTCCATATGCCTCGACAATTGGATCCATCATGTACGTCATGTTGTGTACTCGCCCGGATGTATCATATGCATTAAGCATGACTAGTAGATATCAGTCTACACCAGGTGAGGCTCACTGGATTGCGGTCAAGAACATCCTTAAGTACTTGAGAAGGACTAAGGATTTGTTCTTGGTGTATGGCGGATTGGAAGACGAGCGCGCTATAACTTCAGATCGCAGTCAGGTTATGTTTTCTGCCTGAACGGTGGGGCTATCAGTTGGAAGAGTTCCAAACAGCCAACCGTGGTAGATTCGACTACAGAAGCCGAGTACATAGCAGCATCGGATGCAGCTAAGGAAGCTGTTTGGATCAGAAAATTCGTGGGAGACCTGGGCGTCGTTCCTAGCATTGCAGATCCCATTGAGTTGTATTGTGACAACAATGGTGCGATTGCGCAAGCTAAGGAACCCCGGTCACACCAGAGATCCAAACACGTACTCAGGCGATTTCACTTGATCAGAGAAATCATCGACAGAGGAGACGTGAAGATAAGCAGAGTGTCGACAGATGATAATATTGCCGACCCATTGACGAAGCCTCTCCCTTCGTCAAAACATGATGGTCATGTTAAGGGTATGGGGATTAGATGCTTGTAGGATAGATCATAGAGCATAGTGGGAGATTGTTGGTTGTAATGCTCTAGGATATTCCGTGATATGACATTTTGACTATGTGATGACTCGTTGCTTTATGAATGCATTACATTACCGTTATATGATTGGCATGTTTGTTATATTTCGGCATCCTTGAATCATTATAGAATGATTCTAAACACCCTGGTCAGTTATCATTGTGGGAACAATAATGAATTAAGACTAGCATGAGGTGTGATCGATGCATTGAATGCATGTCACAATCATGGGTACTCGTTGTGTACGAGTGACTAGATGACCCGCATGAGATTGTCACATGGACAGAGTCATGACTTGAATCTCATAAAGCGGTTCGTTCTTGGATCCTCAGACCTGAGATGTCTAGAGTATCTGATATGAGGAGTGGCGTGTCTTGACTGCGTCAAACGTCGTCTTTAACCGGATGATCATAACGGCGTTGATCAGATACGTTCACGAATTATATGGAGATAATAGACATATTTCTTGTCTGGATTTGGATGGTTTTCGATTTGTGATTGAGAACTCGAGTTTGATGATTTATCGAGACGATATTTACTATGGTAATGGTTATCTAGTTAATGGTTTATATGTCTTGAATGATCAGCCTTCGAACTCGACATCATCCATCTATA